GGCCTTCTGAGAGGCTTTCTTTCATCTGACTTTACAGTGTTCTTGGTGAGCTTCCAGAATCATGGGGACAGATAGCCCTGCCTAGCATTTACAGGATAGAAATGGCTATATCACACCACAGGTACAACTGTTTAAGAAACTGAAAAACTGTTTTCCAAATTAGTTGTACTACTTCATAATCGTACCAGTGGTGCATGAGTTCTAGCTTCCTCACATTCTCATCACTCTATTAAGCATGCAGTGAATCTCATTGGAATTTATTGATTCATATGTGTAAATGTGTACACATGTATGTATGCATTCATGTGTGTGCGTGCATATGTGAGGAGATACACGTGTATGTCCATGTGTGGGGAGGCCAGAGGACAACATCAGGTGTCATCTTAAGGAACACCATCGACCTCCTTTGGGACATGATTTCCCATTGGACTGAAGCTAACCAATAAGGTTAGGCCCAGCTGGCCAGTAAACCCCAGGGATCCTCTTGTCTCTCTTCACAAGTGCTAGGATTACAAGCATGTTCCAGCTTGCCTGGCATGTTTACAGGAGGCTCTGGGGATGAACTGCTCAGGTTTTCATGTGGGCAAGGCAAGCACTTTACTGACTGAACTATTTACCCAGCCCTTGCTGTGACTTAATTTGCATTCCCCTTTTCTCCACTGATGCTGAACATCCTTGGCTCCTCTAAGCCTAGATGCCCTTTGCTTTGGGTGTGTGGGGGAGGGTTTCGCTACAATGGTCTGAGACAGCTGCAAAGTGCCATTAGTGACACTACCCAAAGAACAGAGCTCTACCAGTATGGTGTGGTCTGAAGACGGCTTTACTCTGGCGGGAGTCCAGAGACACCAGGGCCACAGGCTCCATCTGTCTTTCCCAACAACATAGAGGTCACACTACAGAAGAGTGCAGTGTAAGTGCTTCTTGGTGTGCTCTGGTTCCAGAGGGAGATCACACTCTTCTTCTAAGGGCAAAGGAGAGGGGCTAGGAGACAAGACAGAATATTCTGGAGGCCTGTCTTAGCTGGGGAAAGGAGAAAAGCAAGAGTAGCTGCTCTCCACCTCTGGCTTTATGCTTTACCACAGGATCTTTCTGCCTGGCAAGCAGTCTCTCCATGAAGCCATCCACAATGTGGTGTCCCTGTCATGAAGGCCCTTACCAAAGCCAATGCCCTAACCTCTAGAACTATGGGTTAAATATACCTCTTTTCTTACAAAATACATGGACTCGGGCATTTTATTATTTCTATATATTTCCTGCTCTACACCTAGCAGCAACCATTTTGAGGTTTCCTGGTTCTCTCTATTGGATTTGGGAATTAGGAACCCCAATCTGAGTACCAGGCATATGTGCAACAACTAGCTCCTGGGGATCTTGTTTCTAGGCCCTCTCAGCTGACAGAACTGGGGAATGTGTATGCTTACTAACTTGCATACATACATTCTCATAAGTATTTCCTATGTTGAATAAATTAAATAGGAGTCTGCTCTGATGCTTTTAATTCTAATCATTACCACAGGGATTACATTCTAGCCTTAATGAGTCATCTTTGATAGTAACACCATAGCTGCTATTTTGTGCCAGTGATAATGCCAAATTATTCATAAAGATGACCTGATTTAATTCTCAACATAATAATGGGAAGATGTTACTGCCTACATTTAACAGATGAGGAAACTGAGGCACTGACAGATGAAGTATTTCACTTAAATTTACCTAGTAGGTAGGCCAGCAAAAGAGCCATTGTCTTTGAGGCTTTATGTCCACTCAGTGGCAGAGCACTACTGTCTCTATATTCTTGTGAGATGGAGCACCCTTCACACTCCTAACTCTCATCAAGCCTTCAAGACTCCTCCATGTGTGGAGGCTCCCCCTCCAACAAGCTAACTGAAGGCCTAGCTGCCAAGCCTGACTTAGCTCCTGAAAAGGGATGCTAGAGCAGTGGCAAGATCAGCTCCCTCTGACCCTGTGACTTTTCAGCCTCTGGCTCACCCCAGCTGTGTGTGATCTTGCATTTTAAAGAGTTGGTAGTGATTAACTCTGAGCAAGGAGCTCTGCTTTCATGAAGTTAAGAAAAGAACAGCATTTTCCCTTGTTAATTAAATCATGCAGAAGGAAGATGAATGTACAGCCCATACTTATATCTTCTAAAATATCAAAGGACTGATTATGTTCAACTTCAGGCTTTTCTTCCTGATTCCTGGAGGTAACAGGAACCTGGAAGTAGGAAGCGTCTGAGTATTTACAGCATTCAATTATTTGGTTATTCATTTATTCTCTTGTTATTTTGAAGTAACTCAGAAAGAGGCAACCTAGATGAAGCAAATACTACCAGGAATTTTGTGTCAATTGATCACTGAATTGGCAGCATTAGTAGTGAGCAGAAAGGGCAAAAGCCGATCCTTTAGATCATGTTGAAAACCACTTTTGACAAACTCAAGGCCTCTTTGGTTCCTGTGTTCTGTTTGGTGAATTTTCCCTGACAGTTGGTGGATTTATTTGCCAGAACCACAACAAAGGGGTCCTTGAGCTTCCCTGGGAGTGCTTCCTCAGACCTGAGCCTCTGCTAGATCTCACAAAGGTGTTATTGTTGCCTGCTTGCTGTGCTCCTAGCACCTGAGGGAGATCAAAGGTATTTTCTGAAGCCAGCATGACCACTGTCTCCCTCGTGACATAGCATTAAGGCTGATGATTAATCTCCTTGGCTAGAAGGTCCCTTCCCATTCTCAAGTACAAAGCAGGATGGGCGTGGGGACTGTATTTTCAATCCAGCACAACACAATAAACTGTCATTTTATCATTTTACGACCGCCATTCACTGCACCCAACTGCAGCTGCCCATCAAATTTATTCAAGTCTCAACAGTTGTTCCTTCTGAGCCATTTATGTCACTGGGAAATGTTCTTTTAATAATCCCTATTATATTTGAGTGTTTACTATTACAAGATACATTCAAATATCATGTATGTTATCCAACATTTCCATGGAACAGGAAGCCTTGCCCTTTATTTGATGGATGAAGAATCTGAAGAATAGAGAAAGTTAAGTGCTCACTCAGGTCACAGGACCATAAGAGACATGAGCATCCAGTGACCAGCAAGCCCATTGCCTCTCTGTTCTATGATGGGCATGTGATAAGCATGCATGGTATCACAGCCCTGAAAAGTGGGAGCTTTGCCAGGCAGAGCAAAATTTGAATTCTTAGTTCCAGAAATTACCATCTTTGTGAACTTGGGGGAAAACACTAGACTTTTCCATGCCTTATTTTCCTAATTTATCAAAACAGAAAAAGCTACCAACATCCCATGGCGAGATCAGTGGGACTGAGAAGTAGGGCATGATTGCTTCTGCTCAGAAGGAAGTCTCAACTGAATGGGGTAAAATGCCTGAGACTAAGACTCAGGAAGCTCGATCAGATGTGTTCCAATGAAAATAGATGATGATTTAAATGCATTTAACTCAGTTCAGTAAAGACAAGTGAACAAATACAGACCCAAGTTAAGGGCAAAGAAGGCTGGGCTGGCTTACTGTTCCACACTTCTGATGGAAGGAGACTTAGCCTCTGTGGGTCTTTTTGTCTATAACAGCTAAGCTCTGGCACAGGGATGCTGAAGGGCAGAAGTAGGTAAGACTTTTAAAGTCAGTTAAGGATGTTCCACAAAACACTGCCTAGAGCTCAGAGAACTATACAATGAAATGCAGTGCTTTAAAGTCCAAGCCAAATGTTACCTTGGGAAGATTTCTACAACCCTGGAACTTCCCAGTTCAGTCAGTCCCTGTCTGTTTTCTGCTCAACAACAACAGAACTGGTAGTCAAGAACAGGCCTTGTGCAGGTCTCACTCAGGGAGAAGCACTATGCCTCACCTCAGTCCTTCTGTTAGGAGACATGGGCTGGAACATTCTGTATTTGCAGAGAGCTGAGACTCCATGTGGGATTGGAAACCAACTGGGCTAACATCCCCATTCATATGACATGAGAGACCACAAGTGAAAATAAGTGTCAGGTACGTAGCAGATGCTCAGCACCATAATTTCACACTGGATCTGTATTTGAGGACCCTGGAATGCAATATTTATTATAACTGTCTCATCTATGGGTGGGGTAATGCTATCCTTTTATTCCCAGAGTTCAGTACAGCTAGAACACAAGAGGAGAATTCAGTTAATAGTGAATGCATGAGTATTTACTCAACCAAAGCATTTACTAATTTAAAAAAAAAAAGGCTGAGTTACTTAGCTTCTCAAAGCCCACAATTCCTCCCAAGCCACAGAGATTTGGCTCTGCATCCCACTCCATCTCTGCTCATTTCCTCCTTCTCCTCCTCCTCTTCCTCCTCCCCCCCCCCGTTCTCCTCATCCTTCTCTTCTTCTTCCTCCTCCTTCTCCTTCTCCCTTGGTTTTACTCATCTGGGAAAATTCCAAGGAGTCGTCCATCTCAGTTTAACAGAGTAATGACTTTTAAATAAAAATATGGTAGAAATGGGTACTTATCGAAATGGAATGCTTTCAGACTCATGCATTTAAAGAAGATATAAATTTTAGGGCAGGCACTAAATTTTAACTGCAATCTTGGAGAAAGCCTTTCCACTAATTCATGAGAAAAAATTAACAAAGTGAAAATTGCTTATCAGTGTTCTTTTGAAGTCATGATATGCAGCCTAATTCTATAGATCATCAGGACGCTCCCAGGGAGATGGATTTATATTAATGGAGGGAGAGCTCAGTGGCCAAGGAAAACACATACCCCTTTGTAGGGAAGAATTAGATAGGGGGAGAGATCCCTGGATATGATCTTGCCATCTTTGGGACCCAAGTGCAGTCATCAAGTACCCTTTCATATTTTTTAACAACTTGGGTCCTGGAAAATGACCTGGCAAAATCTAAGTCAGGCTGCGGAGGAGGCAGAAAGAGTGGAGGGGATGAAGGAGCCAATGGCTCAAGATCTCTCCTTAGGCTGCCTCTACTGCACAAGGTAGCTTTGCTTTGTGCCTAGCATACTCACCCCCATGTGACAAGATGACGTTCCACAGATGACAGCCAGCCGTGACGACACTGGCTGCCCTTCACAGATCAGGCCATGACCACTCACATCTGCTCCAATCACTCCTGTGAGAAAGCAAAACAAAACAAAATCTCTTAAGAAGAAAATAAAATGGAGGTAGGAAAGCTAAAAACAAGCACAAAATACAATGAAATAAAAAGCCACATAACATGAAAAATCCCATTTGTACTCCAGCCTCAAATAAAAAACAAAAAGAACTTATTTGCCTACCAAGGGCAAACTAGGAAGAACACTCTGGTTTTGTTTTATTCTGGTCTATGTATGGCACCCAACTTTGTCATAATAATACTAATTACAATTATTTACATACAAAAATCAGTTGCCATGAGTCATTTGTGCTTACTAAATACCAGTCTCTATGCTGCATATTACATGGATCATTTGATATTAACACTGTCTAGTAGATCTTATTAATGACACAGATGGACCTAGAGGAATAACTAAGGTCTGTAGAGGTCGAGTGACATACCCAACGTCAGTCACAGTGCTAGGAAGAAGCTCATTTGAATGGAATCTCATTTAACACATTATATCCCAGTCTCATGGAAAGCAAAAACAAAGGAGCAGTTTGATGTCTGCATCTGACATTTGTTTGTCATCATTATTACTTATTCCTCTTGTAAAGCACCAAGTGTGAAAGGCCAAATGAGAGCAAGTCCCTGCTCAAAGAACAACAAGGAGTTGAAAGCCTTACCAACATGGGAGAAACTCAGGCTTTTCACACAGTCTTGCTATATTCCTTGATACTTGGGTAACAAGTGAGATTATAAATATGAATAGAGAATTAGTCAGAGCTCTTCTCCCTTCATTTACTCAAATAGCCACCAAGCACCTTGAAACAGAATGTAGCAGGTGTTATATGAGTAGGGCAGGACTCAGATACTAAGATGCATGTGGGGAGAACAGCTTACATCGACCCATCAGCTCTGTACCACCCTGCTCTCAATCTCCTGTACAAGATGTTCTTTCGCATCTCAAGGCCTTCGTACAAGCTCTTCTCTTTATCTAGAATGCTATCCTCAACCTCTCTACGAGCCTAACTCCTGTTTACTCATATGTCAGATGTTACTCTCTCAGACAGGGTTTTTCTGACCATTTAGGAAATGTGGTCACCCTGTTCAATGTTCTCATGCACCTTGATTTTTCCAGAAGAGACACTGCAGATTTTGAGATCTCAAATTTCTCTAATAAAGCTCCAAGAAGCTAGCACTGCCCCACTTACATGCCTAGTATACTGCCCAGTACCTACTGTAGTTGCTAGGTGAGGGGCACAAAGTGAGAATATGGTGCTCATGGAAGCAAGAATAAAGACAAGACCCTGTACGTCCCATGCTCACAGTCTGTGAGGGAAAGAGAACCCTACACGGAGAATTTCAGTGCAGGAGAATTAGCTCACATCTGCAGTAGAAACTACTAGGGCTTAGATCCTGGGTTCCCCCAGGCTAAAGGCAGAGTGGGGGCATGACATCAGGCTACATCTGCAAATCCTGAAGACACTGGTTGTTCAGCAAGCCAGAAAGAAAGATCTAGGCTGCAGTAGCAGGCCTCTAACAGCTTTCTCAAATCTACCTTCAGGACATGGCCACTTGTACTGCCCTTTTATTGTACAGAGGCCCAGCAGCAGGGGAAGCACAGCTCTTCCAAACTTTCTGTGTCCTTTATCACAGTAGGCAGATCCAGCAAGCAGGTAACTGAGTTCTGGAGCCTGAGCCTGCAAGGGTCCTGGGCCTATTTGTTTTTAGATCAAGCCTACTGTTTTGCCCTATATGGTTAGGGCTGCCCCTACAGACTGCAGTTCCCAGTCTTTGACAAGATCAGCCTTGCCAGAGAAGCATCTGAGGTGAACACTCAGGTAGAGGGCGCCTTGCTGCAGCCTTCAGCTCCGTGGACAGGGCCACTGTCCCTCCCCCTTCTTCAAGTGTCCATCGCTCTTAGACTATAAGCCACCTCTCCTCCTTCCTTAACTTGCAGACTGGGTGATAGTAACTTCTGTTCTGTTGATTTCCAGCTTCTTAGCAACATCTGGTCAGAATTTTTCTTATGAAATTCCTACTTTAAAATACATGACATTGATCTCTTCCTGTGTGAATCTTAAGTTCCCCATTCAGGACACCTGGGCTTTTAGATAGGAAGAAACCATCTGTGCTAATTTTAACAGCCTTTCTTGTATGACCTTACTGTAGACATATTTTATTTGTAAAACAACTTACTACTGCGATTGGTGCTATTACTAGCCTCATTTTACAAATGAAGAAACAGTTAGAAAGAAAAAGAAACTTCACCAGGGCACAGGGCTCCCAAAAGGCAGGTCTGATTCAACACTCACATAACCTGACTCCAAAGTATTGGTTCTTCATCACTAAGATTCAGCTTGTTCTCCAAGACTAGGAAGTCGGTGTTTATTGTCTATACATCTCAACATATTGGAGTTTCAAAGGTATCGATTCTGATATGCCTGAGAGAAAAGCAGCTGACTATGACTGGTCCCAATGTAGTAAAAAAAACTCAAGGGCTTCCTAAAGATGAACCACACATACTAGTTCCACTTGCCTAAAATCCAAATAATTCTAACCTTATAGGGTCACTCAGTTCTGACAAAGCCTTTAAAATAGGAAAGAAGGAATCTATGGTGATTTTTTTGATGTTTCTTCTCTGGTTAGCAGGGTCACTATTGATTTATCTAGACTTAGAATGTAATAAGTGATTTAAAATGAGAAAAGATTGGAATTTGGACAGAAATGTCTGCTATAAAATGAGACAAATAACAAAATCATTATGTTGATCTGATATTGAGACACTGTTCAAAAACAGATGTTTGATCAGCAGTAGACTTTCCATAGTCACCAACACCATCATCATTCACAAAACACTGCCATCACCCTTATCTGAACAATTTCTCAAGAATCACTCACTCTATTCTTCTGTTATTTCAAGCAAACATATCTAGTGCCTAAGATAAGCTAGGTTCTATGCTTAAATACTGGCACTTGATTTTTATAGTATCCATAAAAGGTAAATAGACTTTCTTTCCCTTAATAGATATGGAAACAAAGGGTCAGAGTATTCAGGTAACTGGCCCAAGGTCATACAGATAAAAGAAGCAGTGCCACGTTTTGACCTTGTTCTTGGGAATGCCAAACCCCATGCTCTGTCAATGTTTTCTCACTTTAAGGTACCATAACTGTCTTATATAAAGCAAATGTACCTGAAAATGTTGGCGTATCATAGAGAATAGTGAGTACCCTAAGCCAGGAGTCTGAAAAATCTGAGTTTTAGTAACCCCAATCTACCACAAATTTCAATTTGTTTTCCCAAATGAGAGAAATATATCCCTCATGGAGGCTCTTTCTCAGGAATGCTCAGTATACAGTGTACACAGGCTTCTGACATACCAGCTAAGTGCCTCCCAGACTTGAAACAAACAAAATTGTCCCTCCCAGGTTCTGATATTCTGTTCTGGGACATAGACACCAGCAAGGCTTGACAGCACCAGCAAGAAGCTGGTCTTGCCATGTTTCCCCTCATAGGAGACTCTCTATACTGTCCAGAGTCATCCTGAATTCAAAAGCAGCATGTGAATCTGAGAGTTGCCATTTTCCTGGGGCCCTGCAGAGCCTAGAGGGGCTACCCCTGAAGAAAGAGGCCCAAGCAGGGCCCGGTGGGGTGGGAAGAGCTTTCTCATTTCTGAATAAATACATTTCACAACCTGTAGAGAAACCATACAATGCACATACACATCGGGAAGCAATTCATGAGATGAGATTTTAACAAGTATAGCCTTCAGCACTTCTGGGACCTTCATAAGATGTACAAGTGTCATTTTATTCTGCACTCCTCAGAACATTTAAAAGCAGAATTAGCAGCTGAAGAAACAGGCACCAGAAACCAAACAAAAAGAGACGTATTCAACTGTGTTAACCTTTGAACAATACTTAGCTGACAGTAATTGCTCAATCAATTTTTGTTGAATGTTGAACACATATAGGAAAACAAGCTTATTGATTCAAAGAACTAATTTAAGGTCTCTCATTTAATGGTTTTCACCTCTCAAAATCTGGGCATAATGTATATCAAGCAGTATGCTTAAAAATACAATTAAAAAGGAAAAGTTAAAGCAATGATTAGTTCTCTTATTTGCTTTATGTGCTGTTTCCTTTCCTCTTCTATCCATCCAGCCAACCATCCATCCTTCTTCCAAACATTTATTGAATATCTACTGTAACTTACATAAAAGACAAAAAAAGAGACTGCAAATGTTATGATTTAAGAGTCCATTATCCTGTAATTTGTCAAACCACAACTGCTTTGAAACTTTTATAGGGTTATATAGAAGAAAAACATTCCATGTTCTAGCACTGGTGTTATAATTATATCCCACTTTATAGTTATATACATACTTTATAACTTGGAAGCATCCTTTAATTTTAATAAAGTTTGTGATACATGCATCTTATTTCTAGTTCTCAGTTGAAAAAGCTGAATTTCAGAGAAGTAAAGTAGTTTCACCCCATTTATTTAGCTGTACAGAGGCAGAGGTGACGCTCACACTAGGAATTACTAAATCACCTAGTTTCATGTGCTGGCATCTTGAAGAAGATTCTCTTGAAATAAGAACCTCAGACACTTCATAGAAGAAAGAACGATGAATTCTGAACATGATTTAAGACTGTATCAACTCTTGATTCAGCCATTTGAAGAAATGAGCTGACAAACTCGGTCAAATAAATTGTTAGACTAAGCTAGATGAAAGGTTGGTATTCTTTGTCAGGCCATTCCATATGGACAACGGTCTCATATATGGGAAATCTGGGGCAAACGTGAGGTTCTGGGAGGGCAAGAATCATAACAAAGGAATCTCCTCTTTCGAAGACATAATTCTACACTCAGGACAAAATACTTAATTGTATTATTTTGATTAATATTTATACTACACAGAACCAGATGTACTAGATTGGCATTATGGAGAAGTAATTAAAGACTCATTCGTCATGTGATTTTCTTCAAGTTTCATATATAGTTATGTCTCAATTTTCACATATACATA